CCACGACAAAGAATGTTTCAGTATCCCAAAATACCAAGTTAACAAGGGTTCAGGGTATAATAATTTCATACACACTTATCTCCATAACCATAGCTGCATTTATCATTATCAGAACCATTATATTTTTCATTGGGTAATATATCTAAAATTAGTGGGGGCAATAGCTATATAATTTTCTTTGCTTTAATTGTGAACAGGATTTAAAGTTGGACTCATATTTATTAGAAAAACTAACTGTAGTGAAGAACAACACTTCCCTTACTGTGAACAGGAGTAAAACTATTTATAGGAACTTCTGGCTGTAAATAAGGTTAATCTGAAATGCTCAGGGGAGAATATTTCAGTAGTCAATCAAAAATTTGATGTTCGGTACTGGGCCAGCAATATGACCTATTTTATTATTATTTTTTTTTCCTGTTAAATTTGCCATAAATTTTTGGATGAAAGTTAGAATAAAAAAATCTTTTGTCTTTAAAATATTTCTGGTGTTTAACTTATAAACAATACATAGTGGTCATCTTTCCATCTAAATGACAAAAAGAGCTAAAGTCCCTAACTCCCAAACCTATACTGTACCCGGTAACTAAAAATGAAATCCTGTACAGTAACAGCAAAGTTCCTACATACTTGATGATAGTCACTTACAAATGAAAAATAAGAGGAGATTATTTTGGTTGCCTTTCTTGAGCTATAATCATTAATTGTTATGCAAAACAAAATCAAAATACTGTACTGTATAGAAGATTATCTAATGAGAAAATCAAATCGGTTTTTGCCCCCTTTATCTAAGTGTGAATACAAGTGCAGTACAGGTACAGTAAAAGAAATTGCAATAAAACCCAAGTTTTGTCACATCAAAATGAAATCAAAACAAGAGTTGTAAAATTATTATATACATACGTATAACTAGTCAAGAGGTTATAATAATATATATTTGATGTTCTTTAAGATAAAGTATAACTGAATGTCAAAGTTCTATGATAAAATTAGGATATATGACAATAGCACCAGGTGGTATACTTTAGGTAGACAAAGTAGTAGCTACATGAAAAAATTTAGCATATCAATTCACTGAAACATCAGCAGGAACTTATAAAGTATATACCGAGACAAGTTATCTCATGACCCAGCTCAGTAAATGAAACTTTGTTAAATTACATTACCTACAGGTTGTAAAATTGTTACATCACTACTAAATGCTCCTTTATACAAAAGTTGTTTGACACATCACCTTCCAATAAACAAATATTAAGTTTCAAACATCAGTGTAGTATAGGTATCACAATGGAAGCACTGGTGAAAGCTCAAGTCTTGAAGATAGAAGCAATAAACAGTGTCTACATAAAATTCATAACAAGTCATTCCCATTTTCCTTAAATACAGCAGCAGTGCTTTACAAACAAAACTCAACAGTAACCCAAATGAGAACTATTTATTGTATGGAGTTGGATATATCAGAAAGTATGCACACTCTTTGGAAAGAAAAATCATTTATTACAATAAAAAGAAAAATACAAAAACACAAACCTGAGTGTATATCAGCTTTACATTTCAATTGCCATCATGAATTTTGTACACTTAAAAATAAACTTCTAGAGAGTGGGAAGATGATTTTCTTACTGAAAATTAAATATACAGTACGTATACAGTGTACAGTATTGTAGGACATGTTATGTTCTGTACAGTATTTCACTTTATGCAAACATCGTTATTGTGGATACGACTAGAAGATTTTGACTCGATTATCTTTCTCCTCTTTGCCACTTGTTGTCTTATTAGCCAGTCGGACATCAGTTAGCTGTCTCTTGTGCACTGTTGACATGTATAGGATATGCATAAGTTCTTGGGTGAACCTTAACATGGCCAATCCTAGACTTGTAAGAGCTCGCACCTGGTGCTGTCACAACATTCACTGATGGGTTACTCTTACTCAAACAGAAGTTGCTCTGGCAGTTTTAAGTTCCGAAAACAACATTTACTTGAGGCGGTGACCCTTATCTGGAATGGTCATCATATAGTTCCAGACTGGTATACAGTATATAAATCGAGTAATATCCACTGCAGTGCTTAAACTCTTCTGATAAACAAGCATGTAAGTCTATTAATTAAATCTGTTACCTACATCTTTATTATGCATGCAAATGTTTTCCATGTTTGCTCTTGATATGTTTTTTTTTATTTTTCCAGTCGTAGGATCACTACAATATACCTGGTACTGTAAACAAAGTACAATAAAGCAGACGACATCACAAGAATTATACAGAGCTGTAATAGGTAAGTTTGTATATTGTTTTATGGTCTAATATCAGTCTGCAATAATTATAATACAAAACTAAAGGCTGTTTACTGCATTGCAATATATACTGTACAGTACTTAAAAAATACAAAGATTTTAACCCCATATACAGTAGTGTGATGGAAGTCTGTGATGAAAAGTAACAGTCTTAAATTTTTTATATTTATTTTAGTACAGTACCTGTATTACAGCTGTACAGTAATTGGTTTACTTTTGTGAAAAAAGTTATGAGTACTGTATAGTACCTGTACTGGATATATAAGGTTCTAGAGTGGTTCTCAAACCATGGGACATGATGCAGCAAAGTTATGCTTTTTGCCTGTTTTATTTTAACTCTCTAGGTCACCAGTACTGTATGTATTTCACCAATCTATCCATTCATTTATTTTATTTATTTACCTTAAAATCTAAAGTACTAACCAATTTAGGGAACAGGTTGAATTTTTTAAATTAAATTTTAGTTACAAGTACATCAAGAACAAGGATACAGAGGGTAGAAATGGCCTTATTCAGAGGTTTTTTAATTCAACTTTAGTTTAAATATAATGATTTTGATAAGTCATGACATTTCTAAATAGTTTGGCAAATAATTGTGAAGTTTTAATAAATACTGTAATTACTGACAGACCTTCCCTTCTCAATTCACAGCTGTTACTGCTGTTTTATTTTTCTGGAACCACTTTAAATTAATATTTACTTAGTATTCAAAATTCACGTACTTAGCAGATTGCCAATAACAAAGGCAGAATTAATATGACTGGTTTATTTAAAACAATCAAAGGCCAAAGAGGAAAGGATTAGAGTTCCAATGGAATAACCGAAATGCTTTAGGGTGGGAATGACGAGATACTGTACCTCACAAACAATGGATGTGAAAGGAATGCCTAAAATATAAATGAGTGGGGGATTGCTGAGGACGAGTGTGGAGACCAAATTCTGGTGGCCACAGAGTGGGAAGGTAACATCACAGACAAGGCTGAATAGTACCAGGACCACAATTACAGAACATTTCATAATTACATTGTTTCAAAGAGAAAAGAATACAGCAAGTCCCCAAATTATGCCAAGTCTATTTACATCATTTCAACAGAATGTTGCTAACAAATTATGGAATAGTATTCTATATAACTTGTACCAGCCTGATATAATGTCATTTAATATTGTGCAAAAAAGTGTGCCAGTTTTGTCCACCCATCAACCAGTGTATAAGTGAAACATCTGCGCCTCCCCCATTCGATGGATGTGACATGTGGCATTGCTTTATCTGCCCCAATCTTAGATATTTTGTCTTGAAATCAAAGTTGAATGTTTTTGTGTGTTCATTGTACAATATTGCTGCACCCAACTTTCAAGAAACCCTTGACCGTGAGTGGAAAATACATTGCCACGAAGTCCTGTCAAGCCATTACTTTGGACATGAAAGTGGATGTTATAAGGTATGCCGAGCGGGATGAGCGTGCAGTAGACAATAGTTGTGCTCTGGGTATGCTGCCTACCATAGTCAGACTCACAGTCCATAAAGGTGAAAAACTAAAGCTTAGTGCACAGAATCTGACTCCAAGAAATGTATTACATAATATGAAGGGTAAGAACTCTATAAAGGAGAATATGGAATGCATGTTAACCATTTGGATGGAAAACCAAAATTAACACTATGTCCATTAAACAGAGATCCTTGGCCAGCAATGTTTGACTGTGTGTGTGTGTGACCCCACACACCTTCAGATGATGAAACAGGCAGGCCTGCCTTTCTCCTGTTCTGGACAAGAAATCTTGGCCTTATATTTTTTGGTGAGCAACTCTGTAACTGTGTTCATCATATGTCTGTATGTGTACATCATTAGTGTTTTGGATTTATTTGTTTAAATTTTGTGTCTAATATGTAGTTTAAGTTAGGTCATGGAGAGCAAATTGCCCTGGTGACACATGCCTCCTTATAACAGTGGTACTAGCAAGTATGGTAAACTTGTTTCCAATGATTATTAGTTTGGACAATGTCACAGTTTTTAAAAATGCATCCACAACTTAAATCTGTGACTTGCTGTTGTTTAAATTGAAAAGCTTTATGCTTTCCATTATTATTTTTCATTATCAAGTACAGTTAAGTTAAGTTAAATGATTTTATAGGTAAATGTTGCAGTGGCGAGGAAAAAAAATGGTCATTGTTTTAAGCATGTGGGTATCAATCCTATAACAATTACTGTACTGTACTACTCTACTCCACTTATGGTGTAGTTTTCTTTCTTTTGTCTGGGGAAGGTAAACATCCATAACTTTAACTCAACATAAACAAATAGACAAAAAACACAAAAGCACGTCTTCATCAAAATAATCACTATATTGCATGTGAATACAGTACAGGGGTGGTGGCCTAAGCTGTCAACTTGCACACTTCTATGCTGCCTTAATTTAAAATAGTGTGGGGAGCTGGAGGTTAGGTGTTCATAATGTATAATAATATTATGTTTAACATCCTTTAATAATAAAGGACAAAATTTTTTGGGGTTTATCACCTAATTTTTACTTTAAGTTTCTAAGTGCACAGTATAAATTATTTTAGTGTTTTTGCAGACACTTTGATAAATATTACAGATATTAATTACTACTGTAGCATAAAAATATTTCTTAAGATACAACTGTACAGTAGAGCTTAATGCCTTCGCAAGTTTGACAGTTTGGTAATAAAAAAATAAAAATTCAGTTGTAACTCTTCTAGGTTTATCTTTGCCAATGAAAATACCAATTTTTTACTGCAACACATGGCATACATATATTAACACTATGATAAAACAGTCTGACACATTTCTCTTGATAAAACTCCTAATTTTAAACAATTTACTGTTACAGTAACTTACTTGGTAACATCACAGAATGCCCACAAGGAGTCTACCATAAGATATATAATGCACTTATAATGAAACATTGATATACAGTCTAGAACGACCTGGGTCTCACTTTAAGTCTCGGAAGTTTTTTAATCTTGGCATTCTGTGAGTGATGTGCGTTGCTCGTCAAACCCACACCTGGTGAGGGGAAAATAAGAAATCTGGTTTATGAAAGATTCAAGCAAATAGGTAGATAAATCAAACTATTGTAATGATATTTGCTAAATAGAGCTTTCTTGTAACCTATAGTAATGATTCCTAACATTGTAGCAACTAGTACCGTGTTGATTGTCTATCAAGTATGCATGTACCATATTCAAAAGCAAAATACTGTTCATACCTTATATAAACAGATTAACAGGCGAACAATAGAATAAAACTGAAGTATAGTATTGTACTATCACGTATGTATAATTCATAGGGGAAAAAAGTTATTTTAGTGTAAAATATAGTGCTACATACATACACAGTACAGTACCACATTAACTTTGTATGTACTGTACAGTAGAATGAACATTCACTTCTGGACTAACAATACTGCATACAGGTGCAACACTAAACAACGGTAACTGGTCTTCTACTCCATCAGATTTTTTTTTTCATAAGTATTATTGTCAATACAGTATTTACTTTCATTACCATAAATTAGTAGCATGCAAAAGTAAAATGACTATTTAACACTGAATTTTCTGCAGCTTAGATTGCTTAAGATAAATTAATGGCATATGTATTTGAAAATTGGAGAAAAATGCTTTTAGACAAAATTTTTTGCATAAAAAAATATCTGGAGACCGAAACCATTACCAATACATTTCTAAAACAAAATACGTACTAAATAAACTAGATAAATCTGCAACTCAGAAATACTACAAAATAAGTGCTCTTGGTGTGGCCACTGAGTAAGTTAAATACCATACAGCATATTACAAAAATAAAAACTGGGATTATAATCGTACATTTATACTGATGAGGAACCCATTTAATATACAGTACTATACGAGTACAGGTATATTAAAAAATATGGTAAAGGCAAAGAGTTTACACAGTCTATTCCGCTAAGTAGATTCTGTACTGTAGATCAAATATGGATTAATAACTCAAAATTTTTTTTTGGCTGTTATTATGGTATTGTATATCATGTGACAATTTTGGTTATGCAATTCCTTTAAGCTCACCGTGGAGGTCAAAAAAGGGGTTATGCCTCGATACCTGTCCTTGAGCAATAAGTATAGTACAGTACTTCTTAATATTTATAATGCTAATACAGTATTGTATACTCTTGTTATTGAAGCTACAACTCTGTATTTTAGAATGATACTCAAACTCTCCAATAAAACCTATCACATAAGTTATGACTGTAAAAAAGAATAGTGCATTACTGTATTATTGAAGTACAGTACAGTGCATCTCCTTCATGAAACAAGCAGGAAAATTTGTCATTCACTCAAAAATTCAAGATTCAGAGAAAGATTTTATCCTGTATATTTGTTATTCAATCACAGATATTCTGCTTGTGCCAAGAAGGCAAGCTGATAGTAAATTTATAAATAATTTGCATGAAATAATTCATATAATAGGGAAGCCGTGGCAGACAATGCACATGCACCAAGCTCACTCAATATCTCCCACTACTGCCACCAGCAGAAAACCTCCGGTTAGGATAAGAGGTAAATTATAAAGTATACAATAAGTTCAATAAGATTATCGCCTATTATATATAAGAAAAACGTCTCATGATTCAGTAAAGTAAATACTGTAACTATTTTTGTCCCTGGTAAATCATCCTGCTAGCTGAAAAACAATGAATCCCTGGATTAAGCATAAGAATGTCTTCAATGCTTTAAAAAGTTAAGCACAAACTGGGACAGTCATACAGTACTGTCACAGGGAATTAATCCCCTGAAATGGTTGAATCAGTAATTGTTTAAAATGTGAACCTGAGAAATAAATCATATACTATATGTACAGTACTGTATTCAAATTATTGTCATATAAATCCAAATGAATGTGCATTATTCCTATGACAAATATACATGCTAAATAAAGGAAAAGGGTGAAGAAATTTAATTCTCCATAAAAATAACATTTGAAGATTGTCCTCCTTTAACCCTCACATTCATCATGATGCAAATTGCATCAAATCATAAGGTAGCATTATATGCATTGGTGATGTGAATCATGTCAATAAACTAAAAAAAAAAATGCATTAATGTCTGTATAGGACAAAATCTTTTTCAATTAACTGATTTCTGATAGTAAAGTAATAGTGAGACATTCCAAGACAGACCAAAGAACCATATTACAGTAAATCCCATTCATTAACTTCAAACTTGCCAGCTGAATCGAATTGTGAATCATGATAAATTTCAGTGCTAAAGATTTTTTCCAGAACCTTATATGCTCCGGTCCAACTGACACTAAAGTACAGTAGTCCAACATTATCAGTAAAATGATACAAGTGAATAGCATTAATAGTGATCACTTAGAAAAAACAACAACTCAAACATGAAAAACAAAGGCAATGAGCAGCGACAAATACCTAGTACTGTACAGTACTTGCAGGCTATACAAGATCTAGTCTAGTCAAATATCCACTTATAACAAAACTCTGATTCTATTTTTTTCCCAGATGCTATCAACAACCTGTCTGGCTATTTGAATACAAAAAACATTTGGTTGTGTAAAGAGAGATACCGTAATTGTAAATTGTTGCCATGACACCATAATGAAAAAAAAAGTAATATCACAAAAAAAGATTAATACAACATTTTACTCATTTTTCTTCTGTTGAATATTTTTTTTATAAAACACTTCCAAAAGTTTTCTTGACTAACAAAATTTCTGGTTTTGCATTGAAATACACTTTTGTAATGCAACACATGTAAGTAAATAATAATAAAAGCACAAACACACACATACATATATACCAGGGTAATTCTGTGTTTGTTTGAAAAAGTGAAAGCGAGTCCCATTAAAGCACGACTGCCCATTACGGACAGTGTAGATACAGCACACTGTAGACTAAGCCTTTGGAACACAAGGAGGCAGCATGGCCTTCACTTTCCCAAGTTGTAAACTTAGGTACCCATTTAAAGCTAGGGTGAACTGGGAGTGCTGGGGAATTGAACCACTGACCCCTGGAACAAGTGGCATGTGCTAATCCTGTGTTTGTTTACATTGTATTAAAAACTCCTGGAATGACCCTAAGGAACCTCACAACTGTAGCCAGACTAAGGATGCTAGATAAGCATTCCACACAGTTACCAACTACATCTCACAAATGTGCCAGTCATTGTACCAGGTACTGTATAGGTGCAGGCAACTTAAAGTGTCCTGTACGAGTATATCATTTTGTCTATATAATTTATATTTTGTGTTTTCCCCAGTGGAATGGAGAGGTTGGACAAATGGGTGGGTCATCATTCCTGCCAACCTTAAAACAATCAGCTGCTCTTCCGATTGTTCAAAAACTACTGTAGACTACCACTGAAGGTGATGTAATGAACTGGGACCATAATTCTAGTACAGTGGATGAAATTGCAATATGCTAATTAGTGAACTCAACATAGATATACTGTACCTTGAGGTTGCAAAGCAAAATTTTATATTGATCTGCAAAGTCTCTCAAGTTACTGAACAGAACCGGATTTCAAATGGATGGACTGATTGACTTAACATCTCCCCCACCCATATTATAAGGCAGATACATTAAAATGAATCTTACTTCAGGAACAAACAAAAAATAAATTGATAAAGTACAAGTATTTAGACTATAAGCTGTAATGTACAGCTTGCATCATAGGAAATGAGAGTATTTGTCGTCGGTGGAGATATCTGGCATCTCCTCAATGTAGTATATTTTCATGAAAGAATCACTCCGATTCGTCATATCTTTTCCTATTTTGAGCTTCCTCCGACTGACTCTCAGGGATTGCAAGCACAATTATATTGTTCCTACTAGTTTTAGTACTTTATACACTCTTCTGCAGTGCCCCTAGCTACTGTAATATCTCTTCGGAACTTACATCCCTCTCAGCCACCTTTTGTGTTTCTGCCGCTTTTCCAACTTGCTTTAGTTTAGAAACCACCAAGGATCTGGCTTCCTGTATTTTTGGCACTAAATATTAACTCTTTCCCTTGTGGTCCACAATAACCTAGTTGGCTTGGGGCTTCCAGTAGCGTTAAAACCAACAACAGGTTCCAACCTTTGTGATAATCAGCAGTGACCTAAATCCTTCCTTCTGGACCTCAACCACACAATCTATGCAAAATTCCTCTTCACAGTAATTGCATGACAGCAAACTCCCTGGGGCACACAGCACTGACAGCTGTTGCCGACGGGCACTAGCATTTGGCTTTGGGGGGGCTTGAGGAGTGGGGGTGTATGAGGGTAACATTTGTCAGCTGAGGAAATCAAGATTTAAATGTATGCCCTCTGGTTTCTCCGAGTCAACACTAGGAATTTTCTTTGCACAACCTATGTGATATACGAGTAAATTTACTCTATTTGTGTGAGTGTGTGTGTGTCTTGGTGACAAGGACCTTTAAATCCATGGCTCAGCTACATTACTTCCTAGGTCTGGTGTGTTGGTGGCTTGGGAGGGAGATGGGGGTGATGATGCCAACCTTTGTAACCCGTCAATTTATTCTGAGGAAGAAATCCCCTTACTACTGATGTGAGTTATTTATAATCACACCTCCTATTAGATGTAATTTCAATGTGCACTATGATGTTTGTGTCCTAAAGGCAAGATAATATCATTCTAAAGTCACTTTACTGTATTGCCTTTGATACACAAGGGGGCAGCATGGCCAGCACTGCACTCAACCATGTTCACTTCCCTCACTGTAAAGTTAGGTATACTGTACTTATTTATAGGCAATTGGATTGGGGGTGTCTTGGGATCAAACCAGTGATCTTTATGACAGGTAGTGAGCATTGTATTCATGCAGCCACCATACCCATTTACAAAATTATTCATATAAAAAATTTGCAAAATCTTTGATAAAAAAAATGAATCTTTATGATGTATAATCAAAGTACATAGTTATTTGCGTTTTGATTTCATAATAATGTATATATTTTACACTATCAAAGCACATCGAACTTCAAAATAAGAATGGAAACCATGGTCTAGATTTTAAAACAGACACAGGTGCTGAAGACTTGCAAGAAAGTATAAATGATGAGTTATGCAATTGTACTATCACCACAGATATCTACAAGAGACAAAAGATACATCATAAGCAATACTACAATAAGATTCACTATTGACTTACCACTAGATGGCAGATGACTTAGAGCTTAGACATTAATGACCTTGAAAGTAAAATAAACAAAAGGTATAGTTATTCTTTGATAAAATACGATGTCCTTAAATCTGAAATTTCTCGAGGATATTTTCATTACTTTATTCTAACATATAATGCAGTAGGATTTCCATAACTATTCATTAAAATCATTCCTGCAAAAAAGGTTGCAATTACAAATAAAAAAATAAAAGTTTGTACGATACATGCCTCTGGCTATGGTAAGTGAAAAATTTTTTATCAGAAAGACAGACGCATGTACACAAAAGCTAACACTTAATGCCCTCCCAACCAATGGTGGCTGAGGAATGAAATGTAAAATAAAGATTAAAAGAGATATCTGGCAAGTGCTATTCTATAATACATTAAACAGTATGTACTCAATTTTCCACACACTAGCTTTAAACTTAGCTTGGAATCTTTTAAAACATAATTATCTGAGCAACGTATCAGATCAGAAAAATTTATGAAGTGTTCTAGGAAATATTGTTTTAGAGCCAAGTTTAAAGGAGGCCGGTGTCCTGTATACCTGTAAAGGCTGTGGATTCCAGCTCTGGCTAAACCCTTCATATTGACAGCTGGCATAAATATACAATTTATTTATTTCTCCAGTTGTAATAGTAATAGAGATTAGAAATAATAGAGTATACAGTGCATTTAATTATAATAAAATAGCATTGCAAGAAATGACTTGCAAGATTGATTTTTTTTTTTTTTAGCCAAATACAGTACTGTATTTAATTTGATGTTTTTTCTTTTAAGATTTGGTGGCCATGGAGAACAGGACCTACCCTACAGTTACCATACATCTTAACACACAGAAGTGTCAAGTCTTATCATTCATCAATCCGTGATTTATATATATACATATATACATACAGCGGTCCCTCTGTTAACAAACACAATTCGTTCCACAGAGTCATTCCGTTAACCAAAAATTTCGTTAACCGAATCCATTATTTCAATGGGATATTGGGTAATTGGTTTCCGCTCACAGAAAAGTACATACAAAGTAAAGCCAAAAACACAAAGTCAGACACTCCTAAAATTCCCCTAACTCGCCCTTAAATCACTAAATATATACGAACATATACACTCTTACTCTTAAATCACTACTGTAATGTGATACAGGAGACTAATTTTTATCTCTTGTGCAAAATATATGACATTTATATTCAAATTATTCGCTGTCTTGCAAGGATTCCAGCAATGCAAATTATATTCTAACTTTAGTCTGTGATATTATATAAGATAAAAATTTAAAGCCTACTGTATAACCACCAAACCCTGGCTGGGAGGAGGGGGGGGGTGACAGTGACATGTTTGACAGTTAGCACTGAAGGTCTAGTGAAGTATTTATTTGTTTATTTATGTCCTTGAGATTGAGTTTTTGTTTTTTGCTTATAAAATTTCATAGAAGTGACTGGGGAAAATATAATTTACATTGCTGGAATTCTTATAAGATAATGATTAATTTGAATGTAAACATGCAATAGTTTGCACTAGACTAAAATTTTAGTATCATTTTGTACATTATTTTGATTACATGTACAGTACAGCTTTGCCCTTAGAACATTGCATGCATGTAAATGAGTTTCAATAAATGAATAAAGTTACATATATCGAGCAAAAAAAAAAATAGGTGAAAAACTTTATATAGACAGAGCTTGGATGGCTAAATTTTAGAATGACCAATAATTTTAATATAAAAAAATGCACAAATATTAAAGAGCACCATTTTCTTGATATTTACTCCACTGGAAACGAATGTAAACATAGAACAGATTACTGAATTACTGAATTAGCAGACTAGCCCATCAGCTGATGCTCACAACAAAACGTGATGTTCGTAAGGATTTCGTTAGTCAAATTTTTATTCGTTAACTGTATTGAAGATTCTTATGGAAGGCAATTCGTTAACCGAGGGACCACTGTACTGTAATAGTATACAGTCAACCCTCGCTTTACACGGTCCCACATTCCGCGTTTCCACGGTACCCAGCTGAAACCGGAATGCTCACATTCTGCAGTGCGTGTACCCCTTTACGCGGAGAGCGGCTGGCGAGCCGCGCCATTTTTGGAGCCAAACCTCCCGCCATCCGCCATGTTGTGTAAGCGGCGCGAGCAGGGTGCGCACAAGATCGCCCAGTCATCAAAACATTACTGAGTTCTTCACCCGCCACCCACCACAGCCGACCCAAGTCAGTGATAGTGATAATTATAGTGAGGATATGGACTTATATGGACTTTGAGGGGTTTGACAAAGAGGCCCTGCAAGCCTCTGTGGTGGATAATGATACAATTGATACAAGTGATACAGGTGAGGGCCAATAATCTGCCCTCTGCCTCGGAACCAACCCCCCATCCCCGTGTGCCCAGCCATCTTTTCTACTAATGTAAGTGTTAAAAAACCTAATATTATTGATATTTCTCTTAATTATTAATTGTGTGTGCATACCATCATAAAATTAAGAAGTTATTTTTACTACAACGTAGGTATTGTGTCTGAAAAAGTGGAGTTTGGGGGTCGGCCCGGTCTCTATTTCAATTAATCCCATATGTTATGTTGTTCACTTTACGCGTTTCTCACTTTCCGCGGTACCCTGTTGGTTGAATTAACCGCGTAAAGTGAGGGTTGATTGTACAGTATACGTGTGTGTTCCAAGTCACTGAAGTACTAACCGAACCTATCCTTTATCAGTTAATAGTTGGGGTCGATACTGTATGTGTACCATAAAACTCTCACACAATACAAATAAATAAATATCTCGTGAACATTTGCCTTACAGTAAAAGGAGGGTATATTTTTCCATGTACAGTATATAATATAGTACTGTACTCTTTTTTTTACAGCTAAATGACACCAAATTTTCTGACTAAAGGTACAGGAATTAGTATACTGTACAGTCTTTTATAACTCCAGTAATATAATATTTTGTCACGTCGTGTACTGTATGTATTAAAAAAACAAAAAATAATTAACTACAACCACACACACACACTATAATCAAAGCAAGTTATACTTAACTCAAAAAGTATAAAACAAGAAAATTCATATAAACAAACCAGTTGTGTAGCTGAGGCAGAGTTAAGACTAGTCAGCTTCTATGGTTATGCTTGATGGGGAAAAATTTAAAATACAGGTACTGTACAGTAATTGGAATGAGCATCATCTACAGACTAATGTACTGTACTGTATTTGCACTTTAAATTTGGTCACTCACCTCCCACACGGTACAGTACACCAGGGAAATATCAAACACTGATGCAGCAGCGTCATAAACATACATTAGCCATTTGTTAAGGGCTGTAAATGATGCAGCAAGTATATGAACAAAAAGCAAAGCGTAAAGAAGACATCTAATGAGCAAACATTCTCGTGAAAAACATTTAACGAGAACCGGTAATTATAGGAATGCATATATTTTGCGAAGTGGTTTTCCTTTTCTTTAAATCACTAAATCATTCAGTTCTATGTGCAATAAAAATTTAAAAAAGAAGAAATCTGCACAGATTATAATTTCATTAATGTCTAGTGCTTGAGGTTTTATATACTGTGCTGTATACTGTATGATTTTTTTTTTAATTTACACAAAATATATACAGACACATACAGTACAATAACAGAAAAAATACATTCACAATATAATAATATATGCACATGTAACATAATTCAGCCATTGCTCAACATACACTATATGTTATAACCTAATTGAAAAGTTTCTCATATAAGAAGCAGTATGGCCAGGACAGTAAAGAATATTCTCAAAACACTTTGGTTACTATTCATGTCTCACCATGATAAGACAGAACCACAACAACATATCTCAGAAAATCTGAATATGTACTGCACTGTACTCTATAGCCTGATCATTCACCTCCCACCCATGTGAAGCAGTTACCCTTTGGTTGCACTTTTGGTAAAAGGAAGGGCACTCACAATTGATTAGACTTATTATCCATGAGTAAGAATGCTGGTAGCCAAGAATTGATGAGGGAAAAAAAAAAGCCCAGTAACAGTGACACTTTTAACAGTAAATAACACATCAGTTTATAGAACAACCTCATTGTAATAAAATCTGTACTACAAATTATTCTTAAATGAGGGGAGGAGAGGATTCTCTCCCTGAAAACTTTTCACAATTTGATTTTTTATAAACTGTACAGTATCACATTTTCTCAAACTCCCATTTTAAAAGCTGAGATACCATCCAATGAAAACTACTTCCCCAAAACAATCTTAAGAAGCCAAAAACATGTTTATGAAAGTTTTTGGAATACACAAAGATTTTAAGTCAACAAAAAAGTGAAAAATTATTTCCTTATATTTGTTCTGCATGAAAACTTGGCAAGCTTGTACAGTAGTTATGTCCTCTCGTGTTGGTGGTGCATGACATTACAAAGAAATGCACCGGGTTTACATTTTCCATCCTTTTCAGGATTTTGAATATTTCAATGAAATCTGTCCCATTGTGCAAATAAATCACTGTAGGTGATTCTTTAGTTCATCATGTTCACTACACCAACAGCAAGTGTTTAAATTCTAAAGATTATCAGACAAACTCTTTTATACCACAGTTAAGTCATCAGAAATCATTAACTAAACTGATATGTGCTTGTAGTGAAGAACTTGTGTTAGAAATAAGATCTATCCATATTTGCAGGGAACATTCCAACACTAAGGAGACAAATATGATATATCATTCTTCTGCTTCTAACAACATTCTTCTGGAGTAGGTGTGTGATCTTAGCACTGTATTGGAAATTCCAAGTGATACCATCTAGAAAAGGACATCTAATAGCAAATGTGCAGAGTGACACCAAATTACAATCAGTACTTTCTTCATGACCTTAACTAACAAATGTTAGGTGCCAGTCTCCGTAACATGACTTGATACAAACAAAAAAAAGGAAGGTATACAAACTATGGAAGTTATGAAGTATGGAGACACTTTTTCTGGTAATACTGTACATTATTTTTTTACTGAACACAGACGTCTTTCTTTTGCCTAAATCGTGGGTCTCACTGATTTATCAAAATCTATCTAATATGAATCCTTGTTAATTAGTGCAAAGGCGACAATTCCAATTATCCAGCACTAAGCAGCATCATTGTTGGCTTCTGCCAAGGCCAAGAGAAAAGTTTAATTAAAGGAATGGAGGAAGAGGTATGATGATGAAAACTGTGTATTTATATCGAGTTTTATCAGTAATATAAATGATTTGGAATATATACAGCTGTATAAACTGTAGTTCATTACCCATTGTGCTATATTTTTGGTATCATTTGTTTGTTTGCTTTATGTCTGGTACAAAATAAAGAAATAAGAAAAGACTTCATTTAAAAGCGAATTTCATCTTTAGCTTAGACCTATTATGTTAAATATTTTTAAAATTTTTACATCTCCTCTGAAGTGTTAATGCCTTGAAATCATTTACATCTTGATAGTCCAGTTATTTAACATTATTTTAGAGAATAACAGGTCTGCTTACCAGTTGTGAACATATTTAGTTTGCATAAACGGACAGCTACACGAACATTTTCTATGAACCAATCCGCTATTTTTATTGAAGAGGGACGTGGCTTACGGGCCAGGTTAGTGTGGAAAGGGTATAGTGTCCTAAATGTTAACAATAACCCAGGTTGACAAGGTCTGAACATGAGGTAAGTGATGTTAGTCTTGGGTGATTACTATAACTATATCAGTTAAACAATTACTGTACATTTAAAATTTGATCCCATTTTCAAAATTACACAATCAGGCTTTATCAGGAGACAAGAAAAGCATTTCTGATCAAGAGAATAAATTGAGAAAAAAAAAAAGAGATGAATATATTCAGGCAGGCACTATGCTTCATTCTACAAGCAAGCATAATGATAAAGTTCATATACTATACATAAAAATAAACATAACACTACCAGCCTTGACAGGAGGTCAACAAGAGCATACCAGTGTCGGATTCCCTCAAGGGCTCTTGCTCTTAACCCTTAATATCTGAAGATGTCACCATCGCTATTTTAAAGCAGTTTGGGGGCCTATTAATGGGAAAGAGGAATGGATCAGCTCCAACCATATACTGTACTATATTCTACAAAATAAATTAGAAAAAGTCTGAAAATAGTAGATGACATATCTAGGATTCTTTTCTAGAAAATGGTAATTGCACATGACCCCTAGTAAGCTTTTTATCCACATTTTGGGTGCACACAGGCCCAGACACACACAAAAAAATAATATAAGAATAATAAGAGCTCAATATAGGCCAATCTTTACACATCAATACTGTACAATCAGCAGAAATTCAAAACTTAATTTATAAATTCATCAGCTCTATATAAAAGCAAATTGCTCCCTAATGAGTCTTGATAGGTAACTGTAAAAAATTTTCTGGTGAAATCTAAAACCATGAAAAACATGCAGTGTGATGTCTCCATAACGTATACATTAATGACCTCAACACTGTGTCTATCTGGTAATTTAAAATCTTTAATAAATTGAGCTTAGAAAGCAGACATCTTTCTACCAAGTAAATCTTGCACTTCAACAACACATTCCTAATGATATACAGCATGCCTTTACAATTCGTGGCCTTTGATTATTCGCGAATGACACCCTGGATGTACCCAAGAATGTCTGCGGGTAGTTTTAAAGTTGCAGGCATTTTCGTGGCCGGGACGGGGAGCCTGCGAGTTCTACGGCATCTCGCAAGGTGTCTCTCTTGTCCCAGGCAGCTGGGCCATATACACTCACTCCGCCTCAGTCCGGGTTAAACATTCATCCATTTCACGCTTGTGCTACTCTGCTCTCTTAACAACTGGGGAGTGAGTGACTGTTAGTTAGCGCATTGTCTGCAGTTGAAACTCTCCTCACGCCCTGTCATATTTCACTGGATTTACTGTTATCATGAGTGTTTATTGATAAAATAGTGTTTAATAGTGATTAATAAAGTCATTGTAGCCAGGTTAGCTCATCATTGTAACCACCAGGCTACTGGGCCAAGCTGTGAGGTGTTATGGTTTTTTCAACTCATATTTTCGGGTAGATATACGTAACTTTCTTCATTTATTTTTACTCAGGTACATGCATACACCATCCGAAGTACATATTGTGAAATGAAGTAAAAGAAATAATTGTCCTAAGGGCAAACACGTAATGGGAGGAGGGTGCAGAGTGTAGCTGGTTGGGAGCGCTGCTTGGGAATTTTTTGGTGTAACTTATTTATTTCTCACAATTACTGGTACTGTAAATATTATTTTAAGAAAACTATGGCTGTGAGGTGTTATGGTTGCTTTTCAACTAGTAATTTTGGGTAGTTACTGTATAAGTATCTTTTTCATTTATTTTTACTCAGTTACATGAACACACCATCCTACATACATATTGTGAAAAAAGTACAGTATTACACCGCAATTACCGATGTCCTTCATGCTGGGTTGGCTAGATGGCTACGAAAGAAATTCTTTAAATTTGATCTACGTATCAACCCAACTGGCGCTCAGATGCCATTCGTTCAACAGATAGTAATTTTTATGAGGAAATATTGCCGTTATGGCAACCCAACCGACTCAACTTCAATAACAAAGCATGGAGTGTGTTTGTGTGTGTGTGTGTGTGTGTGTGTGTGTGTGTGTTATTATGATGATGGTAACACATTGGCTGGAAAGAAACGGAAGGTTTCTCTCTGTGGTTAAAGGGTTCATAACATGAATACTAAGACTGGTGCACAATACATGCTAAGTCTACCAATAAACTTATAGAAGTCAGTCCATATAAAGTGTTAAACAATTTTGTGCTTGTCTCAGTACTATACTGGACCATATTATATCATCCCACCATGAAATAGTGAGTGGCACCTACTGCAGGACAAACGTTATATCAAAGGCGAGTGATTAAATATTGAAAAAACTTCATATTCACTTTAAAAGTGTATGGAAGTCAATAAATTTGGTGACCTATTCATTCAAAAGTATAAGGACCGAGTGTACTTCTGTGTCAACAATGTAAGTGACAAAGAACAATGGGTTTCTGGCTCTATCAACTATGTTTTCCAGCAGCATACAGTACACTGGTTAAAACCTTTGTGCTGATTTAATTGTTCTTCGTTTGTTTCACACACCGAACGATTTACTTTTTATAGTGCATACAACTGCTGCAGTAGTCTTTAGAAAATATTTTGTTATAAGTGAAGGATCTTTACTTAAATTTCATTATGTGGAGAGGCAGGGTGGCGAAAATATAAAAGACACTTTGAATATACTGTACTACTTTGTGTTGGATACAAGACGTCTATATTCTATATCGAAATATACATTACAATGCAGTACTTCACTGAATTGTCTACAGTAGTCTTCATTTACCAGGGGAAGATCCAGGAATACCAAAATGGGGTGTCCAAGAAGTTGTGGAGGGGGAACATTGCGAGCACAGTGTGCCCACCCAGCTGAGGAGCTTCGGGGGGGCACTGTATGCCATGCCCCCTCCCCCAGAATTTGTTTTGAAATCTGACCAATATCATGGTAATTTTGAAGCCATGTGCACTTGATATTAGGAGATATTTTGAGGTCCATAGTAATTACTTTCAACTATACAAAAATGTCTGAGTACAATACTACATAAAGAAAATGTATTGGAATTTTCTGAAGAAAGGGGAGTCCCCCTCCCCCCCCCCGGATCCGCCCGTTTACTGTAACTATACCGTACCTATATGCTTTTACATTTATTTGTCTGACATATTTATCTTGTTATAGTTGTGTACCCTATCAACCACCCCTCTACATACTAACTCTCTCTCTCTTAGAATTTAACTCCTCAAGCTATCAGTTCTTCTCACTCCATATCAAAGTCTTACAAGCTACACCTCTACTTTCTTTTCCATCCATTTCCAACACCTGTGTCACACCTTCCATAAGACCTCACCCCACTAGTAAAGTTAATTTTCAGCTACATCAGTCAATTCTAGATGCAGTACAGTACAGTATATTATTTGTGAGTGACTGATTGAGAGTGACTTGACTGAGAGAACCTTTTGACCAGTTCACACTAATGTTGCTTTTATATTGTACAGAAGTGACTTTTTGATCACATGTTTTCTGCATAACTTTCTATTTTGAACTTTAGCAATGTAATGCACTTTTAATACTGTCCCTTAGATAAGTAAAAATAATCTCAATGCCCCTCCATCCATGACTTTGCAACTCTGAACTGCCATCAAACACACTCTATTTTAACAGAATTTCATAATATGACTCTTTTTGTGTCTTCAGTACAGACAATGTTCAATTGTATACTGTTTCATATTGTTTCTACTTTTATAATTCAAAACATAAAAAAAGACCCAGTAAGGACAAAACAAACATATACCCGTCAGAATTTTGGTACAATTCATAGTAAGCAACTACATCTTACTGAAGAAGAAATCAACTACAGAGAATACTGAATGAAACTTTTACTAATATAATAAGTACAGTATATAGGCTGTGCAATGTGTACATGGTGGTGAAGCAAATGTAATTGAAAGTGCTATTACTGTACTTGTCTGAGCTTGTAGATAAAAAGATTACTCAAGGCCTAAAAGGAAGAAAGGATAAGAAGATTTTATTGCAGTACAGAACTAATTTTTTTTTTCTAGTCTGCATTATCAGGAAGTAGTTCAAATACTCAAAACCAACTAACAATGAGATAATCACACATATAACAGCCACTACATTACTTAAATTTACCCCAAAATAAAATAAAATACACTAGGTAGTATACTGTACTTACATGTGCTCTGGGTGGTTTCGAATGCAGTCAATCATTGCTGCTGGAGTTAGGTCACCCAAACAAATCTGGTGAATGGCTGTGAAAAGAGGAAACCTGAAATGGGAAAAAAAAGGAGCACTTATTTGAGGAAAAAATATACAGTATAAAATAAAATATTTTTGAATAACTTGCCCAGATCATTATAGCTTGGTTCCTAAAACATCCACGAGGGTTGTAAAAATTTGACTGGGTAGGAAGGCTACATACAGCAGCACTTTATCCACTGGAATATTGTTTCCGCAGATTAGTAATAGACATTCTGTGGAAATGACAAATTCTGCTTTTCAGGTGACTGGCAGTGGTACATTGCACACATCAGTTTCATATCTCCACAGCCATAAAGATTGATATCATAACAGTACAATACTTCAATCATTCATTCTGCATACTGTGGACAGTAGAACGTCAATATAACTTAAGATACATTCCAAGAGTGGTCGCTTTAAACCGAATTCGCACTAAATCGAAGTGTTGTTTCAATGGAATACAGTGATCCCTCGGTTAACGAACGGCTCGTTAACGAATTACCTTCCATAAGAATCTTCAATTCGGTTAACGAAATTCTTAAGAAATCATGTCAACATGTTTTCGCTTGCTCACCAGCTGAAATATTAGTCTGCCAATACAATAATCGGTTCTAGGGCTTAAATTTGTTCCCATTTGAGTAAATATCAAGAAGGTTGTACGATTCAATAAATTTCCAAGTTATATATTAAAATTTTTAGTCATTTTAACACTTATTTAACATAATTGCAGTAGAGGAAACTAGTTTTTGGTGCGCCAATCAGCCACTTGACTCACCCACCAAGGCGTCGGTTAGTGTCTCTGGTTAGTGGAGGTAATATCTTGCTTGTGGCTCTCTTGAACATAAACTATTTTTACGTTTTTACAGTACAATTATTGGTCATTCTGAAATTTATTTAACATATTGACAATATATAGTGCAGTGTTGATTTAAAGAAAGTAATCTTGAATTACACCTAGTGAACTTAAAATTTTATGGGTGAAATGACGGCATGAAGCATGGGGTGATTTCTCTTCCACCCCCACTTCCTTCTCATCTCCCATCTCCACCCCCACTTCTAATTCCCATCATCATCATCATCAACCAGGAGCCAAAGTAAGTGTACTTTACTGCATTTTTTTTTACTTTGTATGTAATTTTCGGTGAGCCGGAACCAATTACCCAAAATCCCATTGAAACAATGGTTTCGGTTAACGAATGACCTTCTGGAACGAATTGTGTTCGTTAACCGAGGGACCACTGTAATTTAGTTTGGTAGAGTACTTGAGAGAAACACAAAATACTAAAAAGACTGCGAGTCTACCCAGATGCACCTCAGCCCATCTCCTAGAATAAACAAAACATTGTTTTTTTGTAGTATTATGTTAAAACAAACATTCATAAATCAACACAGCTAAAATTGTGGGACGTGAAATGGTCTGTTTACTAGTGATCAGCTGATGGGAAGATTGGGGGGCGGGTTATATGTTTGACAGTTGATGCCAAGGTCTAGTACTTATTTATTTACCTGTCCTTAAGAGTGACTAAGTTTTTCTCTTATAAAATGTCACTGAACTGACATGTTCTAATTAATTTTATTACAAAGGGCTAAAGTTTTTATCTCTTGTGCAAAATATATGACGTTTATATTCAAATTATTCGCTGTCTTGCAAGGATTCTATAAGATAAAAACTGTAAGCCTATAACACCCAACCCTGGCTGGGAAGATGAGGGGGGGGAGGAAGTGACAGTGACACGTTTGACAGTTGGGGCCTAAGGTCTAGAGAAGTATTTATTTGTTTATTTATTTCCTTTAGATTGAGTTTTTGTTTTCTGTTTATAAATGTCACAGAAGTGACTGGGGATAATATAATTTACATTGCAGGATTCTTATACGATAGTAATTAATTTGAATATAAACATGCTATAGTTCGCATTAGATAAAAATTTTAGTTTTAATTAGGAAACTTATTACAAATGGCAAAAATTTATATCTCTTGTACAAAAATATGACGTCTATATGCAAATTATTCGCTGTCTTGCAAGGACTCTAGCAATTCAAATTATGTTCTCCCAACTTTAGTCTGTGATATTATATAAGATAAAAACTTAAAAGCCTAAAACCACCAAACCCTGGCTGGGAAGATGGAGGAGGGAGGTGACAGTGACATGTTTGACAGTTGGGGCCGAAGGTCTGGAACGTCACCCGGGACCTAAGGGTTAACGAACAAAACTTCGATTAACGAAAGCCTTACTAGAAACATGCTGTGCTGTGCGCATCAGCTGATCGGCTAGTCCACCAATACAGTAATTTGTTCTATGTTTACATTCGTTTCCAGTGGAGTAAATATGAAGAAAGTTGTGCTCTTGAATATTTTTGCATTTTTTATATTAAAATTATTGGTCATTCTAATTTAGTTAACATATTGATAATATATACAGTACAGGGAACAGTTTTTGTGTACCAATCAACTGACCGAATCACCCACCAACGCTTCTCAGTTTAACTTTGTTTACAGTGGAGTGAACATCCAGTTTGTTGGTCTTTTGAATATTTTTGCATTTTTACATTAAAATTATTGGTCATTCTGAAATTTAGTTCACATATTGATAATACACAGTGCAGAAATTATTATGAAACATGAAGAAGGCTTTAGAACCAATGCACTCTGTAAAGAATATGGCATGTTATTATCGACTGCCTCTACAATCAGCTGGTTGATATGTAAACAAAGCTGCCGGGAATATGACCTCAAAGTAAGTTTAAAATAAACTACCTGTATTCTATTTATTTATATTTATTTTTATACAGTACAGTGCTGTATTTAGTTTATATTTACTGTTTTGTTAATTCTATTACTGGTACTGTATACAGTACATTGTATGTACTTTTTCTGTGAGTTGGAACCAATTACCTAATATCCCATTGAAATAATAGATTCAGTTAACGAAATTTTCGGTTTACAGACGATAAATTGTGGTATATGAGGGCTGTCACTAGTCACACGTAAAATTTCGGAACATATCGACCCCCACCTGCACAGATAGGTGTTTTAGCTACTGTACAGTACAATGTATATAGAAATCAAAGAATGTTTAGATATTCTCATATCATTCTTATTCAGTTGATATCTTACCTGTCTTCCATATTCTTGGTTTTGAGCATAAAGTTAACTTCTGCTGCAGTGTAAGGTCCTTGTAGCTTCTGGCCATTTAGCATTTCCTTCTCTAGCTCTTCAATAGACTGAAATATTAAGAAAGTCTGTAGTGTTGGCATAAAATATCAAGACTACAGTCCTGTATAAACTAAATAGAATGTGAACTTTTCTTATTAACTTTTAAACCTTCTCAGCTCAATAAATGACTAATCATTTCCTGTGGAGCCAATCTGTCTCACCTCTTATCACAATACCATAAATTTCCTTAACCAACCCCACCACCTGCACCTCCCACATGACTACAACTCACTTATTCCTTCAAACTGATTTTCATTACATATCCAACCAAATATTAATATAATAATGGAAGCCCCTCGAAATCGAGGATGGCCGGCCCAAGGGCCTCCTAGGCGTGAATTTGTTAAGGTGTAGAAGCTGTCGCCAACACAACAACCACACCCTAAGTTAACGAGCTGCATGACTTAGTGTCACGGAATAGCCCAAGAAGACTGGACAGCTTGCCAACTGCACTGGCTAACCATAACTCCGGAATACGATCCGCAAATTGACTAACATCCAGGTTCCCAATTACTGCTGGGTAGACAGAGGCAAATGGCGTAAAGAAACTTGCCCATAGTTTCACCCTGCCCGAGGATCGAACTCAGGTCCGCTCACTTGCGAGGCGAGGATGCTGACCATTACACCACAGGCCACCATTTCTCACTTCACTTCCTTTACCGTGTGACATTATATACAGCATCACCTTTTCATTTCTATTAAAGATTAAAACTAATTGAAGAATTTTTTTTTTTTTTCGTGGGGAGAAGGTTTCAAGCTATTTTCAGTCAATTAATATCTAATCAATTATCAGCAAGAAAAAACAAAGTTTACTTTGCCACTCCTGACAAAAGCTTCTGCAACTCTTCTGTTCCTGCCACCATAGCAGGTAGTGATGAGGTCAGCAACACCACAGCTCTCAAAGAATGTTCCCAATTTTGAACCAGGATAGAATACCTGTAAAAATAGAAATAACTTAATGACTACACTACCATACATGTATTTAGAAATTATGTTGCTTTAAATTCTTCTCTTTATACTTCAGAAGATCTAGTATTAAACTCCCCCCAGAAAGTATCTTTATGGAGGGGTCAGGTGAATTTTAAAATACACACTATGACTCCTGTTGTCTCGGTAGGGTTGTCAAAATCCTTCGTCTGTTGTCAAATTGTCTCACACAGAACCGTAAAGACACTTTTTAGAGTGTGTACAGTACTAGGAGTAGTGGACATAATTTTACAGTACAGTACAGTACAGTACAGTACAGTACAGTACAGTACAGTACAGTACAGCACAGCACAGCACAGCACAGCACAGCACAGCACAGCACAGCACTTATGTTACTTGTATATTATTTGTAATTTGAAACCCATTCCCCAAATATGTAACTGTATATTTTCAGCCTTCTGGCTGCCAAGCTCTTTCAATAAACCGTTAATTATTATTATTATTATTATTATTATTATTATTATTATTATTATTATTATTATTATTATTATTACAGTACAGTTCAGTTCAGTGCAGTACCTATGCAGTTAAGTAAAAAATACTTTATTGTTTACATCTATAAAAGACTGGAATTCATAACCTACCTAACATTATCAAATCCAGTAGAGGTACCAAAATATTCAAAATTAAAATGAAAAAGTACCTGTGCACTGCTAATGAAGTTAAAGCAAGAGAATGATGTTCTTTATAACTAACCAATGAATCCTGGACTGTACTGCACTGTCAGGATGATCCAAACAAACTTACTCTGACATAAATACAGAAAAACAAATGACACGCATATTTTGACCATAATCTCATTTCCAAAACACCATGAATACTTTACACACAAAACAGAAAGAAAACAGACCTCCAAATACTGTAGGTCACCAAGGAAGACTTACCTCGCAAAACTTAATCATCTCCATCAACCCTAGTCTTATGATGGCTGCCTTAGTGTTGTCGCCATACCCAAGACCGTCCACGAACCCTGCTCCTGAAGCTACAATGTTCTGTAAGATGAGAGAAGACAGCAATATTTTAAAGACTCCTAAATACTCTCACTCCCTTTAAACAAAACAAAATTAAATAAATAATAATATAGTATAAGGTGGTAGTAATAATAATAATAATAATAATAATAATAATAATAATAATAATAATAATAATAATAATAATAATAATAATAATAATACAGGACATTAATAATAACATGGATTTTTTTTTTCCTTTTTATTGGGCACCCCCCTACATACTTGTGTAAGGTGAAGTGTTCATGCTTGCCTTTATGTCTCATGAGTTAAGGGCATAAAAGCCTGAGGACTCAAGGGCGTAGAAGCCTGAAGAGTCAATGGTTTATGTCATGAAGTTATTGGAAGCTCCAACAACTTTCCCTGAATATGAATTCGCAACTTTCGATTTACAACAGGTACCTACATTACTGCTAGGTGAACAGGGACCAATGAGGGCTAAGAAGTATGTCTAAACAACTTTTCCACCGGCCCGGGAATCGAATCCGTGACATCTCACTTGTGAGGCAAGAGCGGTAACATCTCAGGTTTTCATCATCAGTACAGGGGGCCCCCTAAATTCGCGGGGGTTGGGTTCTCAAAATGGCAGCGAATCGCCAAATCTTCAAATAGCATTTGCTGAGCGGGGAGGAGGAGGTACATTTTTACTTGTGTGCAAAGAAATGTATATTTCTTTTATGTGTTTGCCCTTAGAACAATTATTTCTTTTACCTGTATTGTATACATGTCTGTGTGTTGGCACACACACACACACACACAAAACACATACAAATAAATAATAATGGGAAAATACTCTCACAAATAATCAGAAATTTTTTTATTAAAAATGTGAGTCTACCCTCAAGTCCGTGCTTTATTAATAAAGCACAGACTTGAGGGTAGACTCACATTTTTAATAAATTTGGTTTTTTTATTATTTGTGAGAGAATTTTCCCAATACAGTATTATTTATTTGTATGCATTTTGTGTGTGTGTGTGTGTCTACACACATACACACACACATATATTTACAATACAGATAAAGGAAATTGCTGTCTTTAGAACAAATGGCTCCCTGTCCCAGCCGCAAAAATCCCAGCAACTTTAAAACTACCAAGACAAAATGAAAATCCGCAAATTTGCGGGGTCCCCTGTAGTTAAAAATCGAGCTTTTGTATTTACAATAATTATTTTCTAAATTAATTCAAAATAATAATACAGTAATGTGTTTAACCTCTTTGCGGCATTTCACGTACTTACCATTTTATTCTGACTACCAACAGATGATTTTATTCAGCTTAGGGTAACCTCCCGCTGTGAAAGGGTTAAGTAAGCAATAACACATTTTTAATTCTGGAGTTGGGTTAGGTAGAATTAACCTACTGGAGACAGCAACTGGGGGATTCATTTGCTTATGGGAGACAGAAACTTCACATACTGTATAGGATGCAGGCTGATTTTTTTTAGTAATTTTTCAGGCAAAAAAGTGTCTTGTATGCCGTAAAACATGGTAATTAGCACTGAAAAAAGTCGTTAATATATTCCAAGCATCATTACAACCATTAATCGCCCTGCGATAGAATTTTGTACCACAAATTTGGAATGAGCACGCTCAAGAGTACAGTACCTTTACTGTGAAAATTGCAACGAGATCCAATATTGGGTCAAAACTGCCAAAAATGTAAGCCTTAGTAATTTTTTGACCAAAATAGATAACTTTTCTCTCGGAATTGGAATTACCTAATTAATTACTTCCAGAATAACACAAAAACACCAAAATCACATCTCGGAAACCCATAGTTGGAGAGTAATTAGCATTATCAATAGGTTTTAATAGCTTGGAAATCAATACACTATGTATGCAAAGAGAAAACACTGACAGCAAATCTCATTCTTCATTAATATCAAGACTATTTTTGATCCTATAAACCCTCAAGCCGAAAATACATGTACGTACTGTGCAGTTAATTCATAATGATACGACACACATCCAAAAAATACGAATAAGTAAAGTAAGGAATACAGTAGTACGGGAAGACTGTATAAACACACTACTGTATACAAAATCCGCATACTGTATATGGCGGCGTATAAGTCGACCTTTGATGCCAAATTTTTAGTGTCTAAAGTTAGGGGGTCGACCTCTAAAATCATGACCGTAAGTGAGAGTATTTCGTATTGCAACCTTCATATTTACCTGTAATATAATTTCTCTATTTCTATTATGGATGAAATAAAGTATTCTCAGTACGGGTAGTTTTATTTAAACACCTTTTGTTATTGATGGCTGTGTGTGGACTGTGGTGGAATGAGCTGGAAGTCAACTGAGTTCAGTGTTGTTGTGATTGTTATGTCAGTCACTAATGACGTTGTGTGTGACGTCATGTATAGAGTGGCTTGTTTGACTGTTTACCTGTTTATGTATGTGTTGATGGTTGACTTGGTCCTTCACAACACTTGACAGCTGCTGGAGTTGGGGGGTCGACTTATACGCCGCCTCTACGGTACATGTTAATCTATCAATGGTTCCAAAATACCAAGTCTCTGAATCCCACCTGACATATATGTGGTACCCTTAATAAGTAGAGTGTGCTACTCCTTACCTTAAGAGCTCCACAGACCTCAACTGCTTCTACATCATCAACCACAACAACTCTGAAGTAATCTGTCTGGATGAGGTCCCTGTACATGCGACCAACTTGGATATCCCGGCATCCTGTTGACAAGCAGAGGTTAAACAGAAATTATATTAATGTTGGTAAAAAATATGTGATTGAATGACTGTAGTACGTATAAAGACAAATTGGGGGAAAAAATAGATGCATCCATAAATAACATTAAACTTCATACCAAACTCATCATAATTATGGCAGCCCAAAAGTTTCCTTTTTTCATCATACCTGTAACTGACAATTTTACATCATGTCTTACCATTTAACTATTTGTACACTAGATATACTTTTTTCTGTACTTATTTCCCTTCCTGTTCTATATTTAGCTTTAACATTCTCCAAACTGAGATACGTATACTGTACAATACATACAATATAGAATCCTAAACCACAAGAGCCCTACTACACCCATACTCTAATAAATTATAATTCCAGTAGTAGGTAGTAGGCAGCTACCAAACAGGGAGGTACTACTGCCTGGGAAGATATTGGAAGCATAATTTGTTGTCTAATGGTAGACCCTGCTGCCATATGGCATCACAAAAATTGTGACCAAGTCCCAGGTTGCTGATCTGACTTTCCGCTTCATTTACAGGCAATTGCAGAGTCTCAATTGTTTCCCTTACCATTGACAACACAACATACATATATCATTTCTCACTTTTGATCTTTTCTTCATTTTTGTATTTATAGTTCTTTATTATTAATATTATTATTATTACAGTTACTGTATTATTATCATCATTATTTTATTATTTAATTTTTGTTTGTTTTATCATAAATTTTATTTATTATGAATTATTATGACTATTATTTATTTTTATTTTTATTATTATTATTATTATTATTAATATTACATTTTCGTCCCCCAGGCCTCGATGTGGGTCAGTGACCTGTGTCCGGGTGGGCTAATCCCCATATTAAAAAAAAAAAAAAAAACAAGGTACAGTATTCCCTTGATTTAACAAACTAATTCGAGCCACCCCTTTCCGTTAAATCAAAATTTCCACCTAATTGAATTTCCATTATTTTCGCCCGATTTAGCAAACTAGTTCACTAAATCGAGCGTGATTCCGTTAAATTACGCGTGGGGTTTGTTTACATCCGTTCAGCCTGCATCCTGCTGTCACCATGTGTGTTGTTCACTGCGACTTCTCGGTCAACTAACTGCTGTACTGTGTTTAGACATCATGCCGAAAGTCTCTCAAAAGTGTCAGAAAGAGAGTAGTGTGGGAGAGAAAGTCAAAGAGTGCAACTATCAATTGGAAAAAAGTTTGGAAATACAGTAATAGAACAAAATTTAAAACAAACACCGAACCCCCATGAATAATGTTTCTAATGGTTTTATGTACATATCATGTGTCTGAGGTGTCTCCGAAGGTGTGAGCGTATTATTGAAAATAATCTCGATTTAGCGAACTACTGTACTGTAGTTCACTAAATTGAGCACAAAAAAAACGAAAAAATTTCTTCCATTAAATTGAGAGTTCTTTATATTGGATTCCGTTAAATCGAGAGTATACTGTATAAACCCAACCTTATATATCTACACACAATACATATTTGATAAATCACCTGCCACAGTACTGACTGTATACAGTACAGTACTCTACAGTACAATAAAGTGGCCGGATCACCTGAAAAATCTCCACCCCAGCTTATTTCACCTTCTGTAGGCCTAAAGGTCATTTTGCTTCCAAACAGTCGAACAAATTCAGTTGAACATGTGTTTCAATTTTTGAAAAAATTTAAAGAAAATATCATTCTATGCATGCTTAAAATACAAAAATACATAAAATATAGTCCTTTTAAAAGTCAAGTTCCCTAGGTAGGCTTACATACCACTGGAGAAAGCTAGCTTAGATTCGCTTACATCCCTGCAGCTTCTTGCACGAGCATGTACCTGCACAGTGTTTGCACAAAACACTTACCTATTGTAGTTTCACAGAATTTTTCATCTGCAACTTCTCCAGCTAGGTTGGCTCCCATGAGAACAGAAACAGGAATATTGAGTTGATCTCTGATGAGGTACGAGATGAGGGTAAAGCCACCACCTTCCTTAGTATCAAAGCCCTGATGATGAGAAAATAGAAGGTACAGTATTAGCATCCTTGGGTAATATTGTCATCCCCAGATGTTTCTTTAAATAAACTATGGTGTGTGTGTTTCTTCTCAAAAGTGTGCAAACTTCAGAATAAATTTCTGTCCACTTTTATAATCTGAGATTCTTAATTAAGGCAAATACTGTACAGTAAAATGAAGAAACAAGATACAGTAAATCAGTCTCAGCAGAGTTCCTGCTTTGTATACTCCCCTCAACAAACCATTAGTCATTTTTATGGTGGCAGTAAGGTAGCAGTCTGTTTACTGCATCTTGCAACTGACATACTGGCAAAGATTTCCTCACTTTTGGTGTCCTTAGCAACTGTCACAGCTTAGGATTTGACTGGTTGCCGGTTACCAAGTGAGTTGAGCTGTCAAATTGGCAAGAATTACAAAGCTTTTTCATGAAACTTCAACATCATTTTTTATCCTTGACAAATGTCAAGAAACTATTTCTCATTTGAAGTATTGAGTAATCTGTACGATAGTAAACAATGATAATGAAAAAAAAAATGTACTGTATATACAGTACAGTATACTGAAGACCAAAGTGATGGTACTACATTGTCCCCTTAGCAACCAATCAACTTTTCTAAGGAAAAGGGAGTTGTTCAGGACACAAAAATTAGGCAGAACTTAGTTGAAAGGTCAACTGTATAATCTAATCAACCGCAGACTTACCCTTATCTCTACCTGCTTCCTACAATTATGCTACGTTACTTTGGTTGTCTTTCTTAATAAACATAAGTGTTTTTAGCATTTGGCTTTAATTTAATCTAACCACTACCAAGAGATGGTTGCCATAACTTGAGAACCTTTTAGAACTCAAGGTTGTTGTTATTTTATTTATTTATTTATTATTTTTTTTTACTGGGATTGGCCCACCCGGGCACAGGTCAACGACCCACATCGGGGCCTAGGGGTGGCGAAAAAAAAAAAAGAATAGAGAAATGAAAAATAGAAAAGGAAAAGGTTATATTAATCTACACCACGAAGATGCTGGACAACCATCTTTTTAAAGTGAGACAGATTGGATAAGTATGGAAACACAAGAAGGCAGAGCATTCCACAGTTTGGCTGTGTGAGGAAAGAAGGATGTAATGTACTATAACGGGTTACTCTAGTGTGACCAACAACCACAGAGAAATGGTGGCAACATGTGTGCACCTACACAGGGTGCCAAATCCACCGGGTGAACATTGCCCGTTAAAGTATCTGTAAAAGAGAGAGAGTGAAGCAACATTGCGGCAAAGAGAAACGGAAGAAAGATTGTCAACTAAAGGACTGCAGTACATAAGATTTTCATTTGGGTTTTGTCTTTTTATCTAATTATCAATAAAAATAAAACCCTTCTTCAGTACTGTATAATACTTTAAACTCACCTTGATGAGAGAGATGCCTACAGTGGACGGTTTAAGATTCCCCACCAGGGGCTGGCAAATGCGCTTGATAAACTGGTGAGGAATGACGAATATAAGTACATCTGCATCCTTGGCAGCATCCAACACATCAGGCACTGCTACCTGTAAAGAAAACAAGAATGCTTAACGCCCACTGAAACCATGTTCTTTAACAATATCAAAATATTACTGATTACTATTGTACCAGAAACAATACCCTGTACTACTGTACACCCGTATACTGTATTAACAAATCTTCCATTACAGCTGGCAATGCAATTTCATTTACAAGGGCGGATCAGAGGGGGGTTTCTGGGGGTCCGGACCTCCCCCCCCCCCCCTTTTTCACCAAAAAATTCCAATACCTATTCTTTAAATTGTCATAGGTTGCGTTAGGCTTACCCACGCAACCAACTCCAAAGTTTGTTTTACTAGAGATAAGGCACCCGGGGAGCCATGACTGTGACATATTTTTTCCCTTAGTGGTATGTTAGCCAGCCTATAGGGGGAGCCCAGTAACTAAGCCTAAGCAAAGGGCCCTACTGAATATAAGCATCTGATGGATTTAATGGCTACCCTTGGTCAAATTACCTTACTGTTAACGCTTGTTGTATACCTGCACTGTCTAATGTGCACTGAAAACTGTATATTTCAGCCGTCTATGTACTGTACTGTACACCTTATGCCTGCATTATCCATACACATGCTGAATTGTATACTGTACCTGCATAGTTCATATACATGCTGAACTGTATACTGTACCTGCATTGTTTATATACAATGCTAAACTAAATGTAAAACTGCATGATATTAATGGATAAATATTATTATTACCCGGTATTATTACAGGTTTTATTATTATTACAGGTACTGTCGATACATTGTCTGGAAACACTTGTAGTGAGAGGGAGAGAGATCCCCCTTAAACAGATACTGTATCACCATAATGATATCAGACAGAAAAAAATAAATTCATGAAACTGGAGATGTTAAGATAACAGGAATATAACACCCTTCACCTTAGCCCACCCTTGTGAGCCACGCCTTCCCCTCCACCCACCCTAGTCCACACCCAACAAGGCTTCACCAGTATGCTCAGGCAATCCTTCCTAGTCTTCAATTATTAATTCATTGATATAAACACAGGCTGTCTCGCCTCATTCCCTTTCCGCAATTATCTGACATTTCGTTCACTACCGGGTAATTAATATTTACATCAACCTTTTCTCATCCAATTGACACACACACACACACACAGAGAGAGAGAGAGAGAGAGAGAGAGGTATATCTCCCCCTACGGCTATGGTCTGATTTTTCGTGACCCAATGGGGGACTGGGTTAAACTATATACCAGCTCTGAATTCAAAGCCAGTATCATTGAACTACCAACCCCAGCGTGACTATACCAAACCACCACTGTGGAGGAGCACCACACGAGAAAGTGTCAATACTTTCAAGATAGCATACCGAGGCAGACAAGCGCCAGCACCAGAAAGATGCTGCTGCTGCCCTTCCCGCATTATATGTAGCCCTCCACACGTGCAACATCTATAGACGGCCCTATAGATCCCATATCGGCCTCCCAAGTCACATTAAAGCTCACGAATGACGATGGCATATTTAACAAAGATGACATCTTTAATAATTCACATCATTGAATCATAGTTGGACGATCGTCATACTGAATTAGCAGCTGCAGCAATAATGTTAAATAACAACAGAATAAAACTGGTCTCACACCCAACAAATCCTTGGTTGGAAATGTCACTCGTCATATCCTGACCTAATAAATCAAATCCAAGTCATAACTTGGTAATCCCGAGGACCTTTGACCCAGATCATAAGTTTTTAAATCGGAAACCTCGTTATAGTCACTGCCAACACTTCCTTGTGGGTGTAAAGAGTCGCATGTACCTGTATTATAGATCTAAGTCAGGTTGGGAGAATACTACTGATCTGTAATAAAAGTATGATAATGCACTTATTGTTTCTAATTGATTTCGAGTGAACGTAATAATAGTAATATATCATACTAATAATAACTGAAATACATTTAAACCTACACATGTATTAATAATGGTTATACTGGAAGCGAGTTAAAAAATATACTGTAATTTACTGCTGCACCACACACACACTCCTGCTGACACCCACAACACACATCTTGCAGCCCCCAATACACCTACTACCCACACACACACACACACACCTGCTGCTTCCCATAAATACCTGCCCTCCCGACTACACACATCTGTAGTCACCTATTGGACCTGAGGACGCCACCCCCGGATACCCGTACCCCACCGGCATGCCGCACACACGCCATCACAATCACACTAAAAGGTATGTCCCTCAATATTGTCAATGTCTATGTGCCTCCCACCACACCATATCACTTCCATCCCCACTGTACTTCGCAATGCCTAGTACATTGGCAACCCTGAGCCTGGCCGCACTGTTTGTAAACTTTGTGGTCAACCCGACTCTCACACCCTCACTCATTACATCCACACTTGCCCTATGACCTCCTCCTACAGGTCCCCAGCCGTTACCAACACCTCTTCCCTCCCTGACCTCCTCCTAGTGATAGGCCTGGCACTTGACATTATTAGGGACCTGCCACGCTTTGCCATAAACAGATAAATTGTACTGGGAATTTCCCCCCACACACTCATCATTCTGTCACTTTATGTAACTTGCTGACAAAACCTATGACCCTTCAGACTTTTGCCCTTAATGCATGAGTCATAAAGGCAAGCATGAACTACGCATGCTTCCCAGATGGACGCTGTTAACGCTTCTGCGCTTCACCTTGCACAGGATTTAAGGGGGTGCCCAATAAACTAACCCCCTCGGGAGCAATTTAAAAAAAAAAAAAACCCGAGTCACTAATGGTGTACTGTAGGGTAGCTTCTCGTACTTTGGAACCGGTGATCTTATTGTGCCACCTAGGAATGTGATGATGAACCAATTTAACTACTTGGAGCTGCTTTGTGATTATTTACCCGGGTCTTTTGAAAAATGCTGTGCTGATGTGTTTATGCAGGATGGTGCCCCATGTCACAAAGCAAAATCTGTAATGCAATGGCTTGTTGACTGTTAAGTAGAATTTCTAAGTGATTGGCCAAGCAATTTGCCTGACCTTAACCCAATAGAAAATAAGTGAAACATTATCAAGCTTCGTCTACAAGGCAAGGACACAAATACCATCCCCTAAGCTAGAGGCAGCCATTCGTGAGGAGTGGAATAATTTAGTCCCACAAATAATCCACAACTTGGCAGTCAGTTTCTTCACGCCTGCAGGAGTGTATCAAGAGAAAAGGGAGGCCTATAGACTACTAGAAGTTTGTTAACTTCTCAGATTATTTTTTTATGAATATTTCATCTTGTTGTTTATGTCTGTCACGACCCCGCGCATAATGCAATGGCGAGGAGTGTACAGTAGAATCTAACAAAAGCGATGCCAGCATCTCTCAGGCAGGAAGATTTTCCTGGCGATGCTGCGAGCAGACGTTCCACTGGGTCAGTGGAGGCAGAGATTGTACAGTACTTGTCTGAGGTTAATCAGCTCAGGTCATTGTGAAAATAGACCAATAATAGAAATAAGAGGGAACAGCTGTGACGTCACTGAAGCTGTAACACGCACTTGGTCAGGCCATTGTGAGAACAGAAAAGACAAGGATCAGCTCAGTTACGACACACACACACACAGGCTGGCAAAGATCCCATTGGGTTGTCAGCCACCAACCGAAATTGTCTCGTGTACACTGTTTATATCAGGAGATATAAGGAATTCATCTGACGCTCATATTAACCCATTATCTTGGCCCATGTCCAGCCGTCCCCTGATGAATACATGAGGGAAGGAGCAATGTGTTAAAAGTCCCCTAAACCGGAACAAACTTTGGGAAACACGGGAATAAACTTTGAGATGGAAATATATTGCAGGACATGAGAATAAACTTTGGAATACAATAACAAACTTCAGTATACGGAAATAAACTTTAAGATGGGAATAAACTTTGGGGTAAGGGAATATACTTTGACACACGGGAATAAACTTCAGGACCCCCTTATGTAAACACACATCCTAGTAACTGACAAACCAACACACGTCCACAGTGGAAAACAAATAAACAAACATTCCAGTTAGAAACACACACACACGTTCAATAGCACCAGATAGAGCCACAAACACACTGTACCTTCACAGACATGGGGAGAGAATGTGTGTGTGTGTGTGTGTGTGCAAGAGAGGATCCAGGGGGGTGTCCAGAAATTCCCCCCCCCCCTTTTCCTCAGAAAATTCCTATACTTTTCTTAAATACAGTATTGTTACCCATGCATATTTGCACAGTAGAGTAGTTGCTATTGACCTCAGAATATCTCCTAATATCAAGTGCACATGGCTTCAAAATGGCTTCAAAATACTCATGATATTGGTCAGATTAAAAAAAATCGGGGGGGGGGGGGCTACCTCGTCGCCCCCAACTGGGTAGGTTCGCTTTGCTGGCCATGTTACCCCACCCACAACTTCTTGGGTCCCCTCTTTTTATATTCCTGGATCGGCTCCCGGGGTGGGTGGGTGGGTGTGTCTTCTATTTCAAACATTTAATATAACAGAATCTAACATAGCCACAGGGAAAAATCATACTGTACTAATAAAGGAATAACCACAAAAAGTTTTATGCTATTAAAGTTCAATGTGAGGTCCTTTAGTGGCTCAGCAAGATATCCTGTTTCCATCCATACATTTTGCAACGTGTCATATAAACTTTCCTAACAGCTTCACGCCTCCTCTCCTTCAATTTTTACGAGCTAACCTTTTTACTTAACCCCAGAGTAAAACGCCTATCCCCCTCCCCTACATCCGCTCCAAAGATTATGTAAATATTGTATTGAAAGAAATAGATAACTGTCAACATTAAAAAAAAATCATATAATAAAATAAAATTAAATCCACTTCAGTTTTTCATCAATTTACCGTAGTTTTCACTGTAGTTTTGTTCGTAGTTTTTCTTTTCATAATAAATATTTAAAATTGGAAAGAGCAACAATATTGTAGTCATCCTGTACATTATGTACTGCACTGTATATTTTCTTACTGGGGAATAACTACAACT